CTCAAGAACTTTTCCAGTGACTTCAAGTAAAGATATAGGTCTATAGTTCCCAGGTTGGTGAATGTCTTTATTGGGCTTACCAAGAAAGATCATCCTAGCAGTCTTAAAAACAATTGGAAAATGTCCTGAGGCCAAGATGGCATTAAAGATATTTACCAAAGACTGTTTACAATTTCTGGGTAGGAACTTTATTTGTTTCATTGTTATTCCAGAGAGGCCAGGTGCTCTATTTCTCATTCTTCCAATAACCTGACTCATCTCTAGTAATGTATAGGTCTAGTAAGCGGGTGGTATCTTCAGAGTTGAAGTATCGATGGAAGGTAGTGGTTGTAGATCATCCAAGTTCTCATCTCTCCATTCATTTACCAACTGATAATGATTATTGTGAAATTGACGACTGTTATTATGGGAGAGAATTTTCTCCCATACATCACCCATCAAATTAGCCTGGTCCTGTGGATCGTCAAGTTTAATTTCAACATCTTCATCATCCTCATCAGTGAAGGTATGAACTAGGTAGTTAGGAGCCTTGTGCTTTTCCCCTAAAAGTTGTCGGATCTTACTCCAAAATTTTGCTGGTTCGCGTTTATACTGATTAGCTTGAAGAACTAGCAATTTCCATAAGTCCCGTTTGTGATGACTAATCATGTTAATTAATTCTTGCCTTAATCGGTGCAGTGTAGCTGCTGGTGGTTGTCGCGTTTGAAGATGCCTTCGACATTTTGCTTGATAATTTCTTAAATTGTCTCTAATTTCCATAGTAGGTTTATATTGTTGGTATATCTTTGTGGAAGCTAATTGACAAGTTGCATTAGTAGCTTCAATTATTCGATTATGCAGGGACCTGATTGCATCATCAATTGCAGTGGAAGGTAGATTTTCCAATGACACAATTTCATCCTCACCCAGAAATGCCCTGAAGGGGTCAAATCCTAGGGTGTTAAGATTGGGTTTAGGAGGTACAGGTATTCTAAATGGAGAAGTTTGTAGTTGTATTATAACAGGGATATGGTCAGATCCTACATTTCCACCAGGAGATATACGACAGTGAAAGATGTCACAGTCTCTGTTTGTCAGTACTATATCTGGTGTCCCTGGATGAGGTCCAATGTATGATTTAAAGAATGGGCCTTGAAATGACAAGTTTCTAGCTGTCATGATATTAAATAGTTGTTTTCCTTTTAAGTCACCCAGTGGAATACCAGCTCCCCAGTTGAAGAGGGCAGGGTGATGAGCATTAAAATCTCCTGCTAGAATTGTTGGAATATTTCTGCTTAATATCCTGTGTAGAGAAATTGACTCTATATATTGTTGTCTCGGGGGAAAATATCCAGTTACTATCACTAGTTGTCCATGAGACGTTGTCATTTCTATTGCAAGAATGTTATCTTCATCAACATGAATATTTTTAAATGTATAGCCTAATTTAACTAAGATGGCTACACCACTAAAGGGTCCTCTCGATTTCTCCACAGTAGAGTACCCACGTAATTTAATATATTGATCAACTCTTGCAGCTGTCTCGTTCAAGAGTATAACATCGGGATTGTAATTATGTAGTTCAACCTCAAGGAGGTAACGGTTATTAAAGAAATGTTGAACATTAAGTTGGAAAATTGTAATCCCCATTATTTCTTGCACTTCGCTCGTGTACTGCGGTCTGAACGCCTGCAAGTAATGTCATGTTTGGTATCCACACTATCCCTGCTGGACTCGTCAAGGGGAGGAGGGAACTTCTGCGTAGTTGCTTGTGTATTAAAAATGCCATCATCTTCACTAGAGGTGGTAATATTAACAGACTCATTAGAATCGTTAGAGTCATCATCAGAAAACTGAGGTATGATATTCCCAGTTACAGGAAGCAGAGGCTCGTGAGAGTTAATGGGAGACTGTGGAGGCTCCAAGGGAAAATTAGGTAGGCAAGGTGAATTACCCTGGGAAAGTTCCTGTTCAACAGGATCAGCTTCAATAGCGGGAGAGTAAGCACCAATTTCTGGGGCATTGTTATGTTCAGGTGTTGACTTATCGGGTTGAGGGGAGTTGACAACCTGGGTATGCGAGGTGGGCGATCCCTGGGCCAGGGATGACTTAGGCTTATTTTTAGATGTAGAGTAGGGTACATACTTCTTGTTATGAGAAGGCTGGGTCATAATAGCCTTCACATTTTCTGGGATAGTGATGGGAGTGATCCCATTAGCCATTAACAGATCATTTAAAACCTGAGAACAGAGTTGAATGTCACCACCTGCTATGTCTTTGGCCATCATATACATTAGTTGTGCTCTCGTCATATCTACGGCTGTGGATACCTGAGACATAGGAGATGAGACTGAACCTTGTTGTTGCGTTTGTGTATGTTGTAGGTGGGGCACTTCAAGAGGGGCAGAATTCCAAACATTGGAACCATTGGTAGAGACCTGAGGAGTCCCACTTGATCCAGGCAGAGCTGGGAAGGAAGTTTGGGACATCGTTGGCGGTGCCTGGGGAGTGGTCTTCTTAGAAGTGGACAGTTTCTTGGCTTCAATAATTTTCTGCATTTCCTTTTTTCTTTCAGGACAAATAGCAGAAACATCATTTTTTTTTCCGTTGCAGAGGACACATTTGGGTGTATTTTTATTATTACAATCTCGATAAGAATGTTGGCCAGAGCAAATGCTACAAATCTGCCCTTGAGTACTGCATTTGTTGGTGTTATGACCAAAGGCATAGCACTTAAAACATTGTGTCACACTGACAAATCGTTCAAGAGAGATTTGGTCAGGTGTACATCTGGTGCCAAAACATTTGAAGCCATTTTGACACACAAGTTTGGCCTCCTCAGGTGTCTCAAGTATTAACTTTAAGGTTACCTTGTTGTTGTTTGGTTTAGAGAATTTATGTGCTTCTACAGCCCTAAATTCAGAATTCTCTGTATTAAAGTCCTCAACAATTTCATTCACTGTGCTATGTTTCATGAAACTGTTGATTCTTGCAACAAACACAGTCCTCTGAGCTTGATAGCTCTCAGGTGCAACTGGGGTAACACCAGAAGTCTTCAGTTTTTCAAGGACATCATGCTTCAGCAGTTGAAGTAACTCTTCTTCCGAAGAGAGGAGAAGTACTGCTCCAGCGTGGGTTTGAAAAACATCCACTGGAGCAACAGTTGAGTTCGAGCAAATACATGCTAGAATTTCTTTCATCGACATTTGATTTCCATCAATACGTAATCTTACTCGTATCCTCGCCATGATGTCTAGGAAGGAACATCTGGCAGAGGAGTTTCTTAACAAAAAGGGATCTTTCCTTAATGTTAATCTAACATCCTATTTCAGCTGACTTATGAAGGTCAGCCCCTAAGATAGCCTACCCTCGAGTGGTGAGGGGAAAGGGCCCAAGGCAAAGATCGGCCGGATTTTAAAAAACCACACAGGCTACCGGATAGTCAAAATGCCTTGTGTTAACTCGCCAAAGCGAAGTTGCCGAAAAAGAAGAAGATAGGAAAGTCAGAAGGATAGCAATGTATGTAGTATGTTAGTGTGTGGGCCAGTGTTGATGTTTGAGTGAGGGGTGGATGGGGGATGGGGATGAGAGGAGTGAACAAGTAAGCAAGTCACCGCCTTACCCTCTTGATGGGATGGGGCTCGAAGTGACTGCAAGCAAGTTTCCTCTCAGCTCTGGTGAAGAACTACTCAGGATAACCCAAGAAAAATCTCGAGCAACAGTGTTCAGAGTTGCTCAGCTGAAGAGCAGGAACGACGACGTCTTCTCTCCACGGCGGCTGGGCTGCTTCTTCCGAAGGTGAAGATGCTGGGAATATGAATGATGGCATATTATTTAATGCAAATAACTCGTTGATGGTAGAGTTAAAGGATCCAGGTACAGCCATGTTTTGCATGTGAGCGTATAGTAAGCAGTAGTGGATCTTGGTTACGTCACATGTTGGAGGAGTGATGATGGTGGAGGCGGGCTGAGTAGATGCTTGAAGTAATTTTGTAGTGTTTGCTTGTATCTTTGCAATTGCTGCATACGTTGGCGTGTTGCTAGTAAGTTTTTTCTTTGCTGCATCTTGTGTTTTCTTCGTAATATCCTTTCTTGTAGGACATTTTGCTGCCAGTGTATCGTGATCATTACTCTTGCAGTTTAAGCACGCTGGTTGTGTTGGAGCAGCAGCGGTGCAGGAACTGAAGGTGTGTCCCCCACTACCACATGTAGTGCAGAACTTCTTGTCTTTTACTGGACATGCTTTGGTGGTGTGATGGTATGAATAACAGTTCCAGCAATGTTGGATGTAGTGGTATCTCTCTGTTTCAATGTAGGTAGGACTGCTGTAGTAGTAGTAGACAGCAAGACCTTCGTTCAGAGCAGTGGCAGCCATGTTCACGTCGGTGAAGGTGACCTTGAGCATGGACGTTGCATTTGGGATTTTGGTAATGCTGTCAACAGTAGCCCAAGTATTTTGTGTCTCGATGGATGACTTGAGTTCAGCAGTTGATTGAGAAGTCAGAATCTTGTCCAGTTTTTTAAGGAATACTGATTTCCTTGCCCTGAGGGCAGGAGATGATGTAACAGTAAACCCTTGAGCAGTAGAGTTGTGGTGGCTTCTGTAGTGAGTAGCTTCTCTGCTTCAGCATCATCGTGACACACAACAATGAATGCTTCTTTCAGTGACAATATGGTGTTGAATTTTACTTGCAGTGCTCCCTGAACAACAGTTGCAAGAGCAATCTTCGTTGAATCATCAACGGTACCATTTTTTGGTTTGATCTTTACACGATTTGCGTAGCTCATCGTGTAATTCAAGGCGATGACAACGCTGGTAAAGGTTCCCCTCCCCAACGGGGATCGTAGGGAGACAGAGTAAGTAAGGTCGGTTGCCGTGTTCCTCCCTTAAGTCAATGTGACCTGACCTGACTAGGTTGGGTGCATAGGCTTAAGCCGGTAGGAGACTTGGACCTGCCTCGCATGGGCCAGTAGGCCTTCTGCAGTGTTCCTTCTTTCTTATGTTCTTATGTTCTTATGACCTGCCTGGGCGAGAGTCAAGAGCAGAATCCGTGGAGGGGATTGTCGTTAACCTCGTGGTGGAGAGTGACTGCTGCAAGACCTCCTTGAATGTCAACAGGGAGACCTCAGGGAGTTTCCCGGCCGGCTGTGGGTGTGGTCAGTGGCAGATGTAGCGAGCAACCTCCTCCCCATGGCGCTTATCGTGGACAAGGGCTGTGACCGGCCTGTGGCGGGGTACTCTGTACTCCCGCCCTGGGCACCAGAAGCAGTTGTGGTCCACATCCAAGACCTCCCAGTTAGCAAGCGTCACTGTCCACAACACGTGCTGCAGCAAAGGGCTGCAATGAGTATTGCAGCAGCAGAGCACCCTGGGTGCGCCGTATATTACACCGATGGCTACTGGGATCCAGAGGCTGGCCGCACAGGTGCCGGGGTACACCATGCCACCCTGACGGCCGGATGGCGACTCCAGGATCACTGCACCATCCTCCAGGCAGAACTCCATGCCATCCAGAGGGCCCTGCAACACGCGCTCCTGGATCATCGGCGACCCCCAGTCATTCACGTCGACTCCAGAGTGGCGATCCAGGCCATCATGCACAGGGAGCCCAGAGACAACATCCGGCTAATTACTGCCATCAGGAAGGACCTGCAGACACTTAATGAGCAGGGATGGCAAGCAACAATCAACTGGATTCCGAGCCACATCGACCTCACTGGGAATGATGTGGCGGATGGCGCGGTGAAGTCAGCAGCCGTTGAACCCCAGCCAGTGACCACCATTGCCATCAGCCGCAGGCAGGTGGACCTGTGGGCAGCCGCTGCAGCCAGGCGCCCGCTACCAGGGCCAGGCACATTGCGGAGCCGGATCTGGTATGACAGGGCGACTTGAGGGGAGCCCCCGCCGAGCATGCGGAGGCTAGACAGGAAGTTGCAGGTTGGGATCCACCGGCTGCGACTTGGCTACCCTACTGCCAGAAGACTCATCGACCGTGTGCGAGAGGAGTGCTGCTGCCATTGCAACCAGATGGTCCCCAAGCCACTAGTGCACTATCTCCTCGACTGCCCCGTGACGGTGCCACTCCGACGGAGGCACTTCCCAATGGCGCCTGGGGACCCGAACCGAGAAGACACAGCAGCCCGGCTGGTGTACCTGGCCGTCCGTGACCTTGGAACTCTCATCCCCCATCCTGGCTGCCCACTCACCGCCTCGATGACGACGCCACATACAACGAAGAGTCGCCACGACCTCTCCATCTATTAACTCTCCTACTCTTCCCTCTTTCACTCCCCTACCTCCCCTCCCCCACCACTTAAAAAAAAAAAAAAAAAAAAAATCCAATGGAGCCTGTACCTGTTTTCTAGGTAAAAGTCTGAACTCGCCTAGAACCCATGCCACACTACCAACAATTTGACGGGGCAACAAGTGCCTGAAGACCCTCAACCCTGGCGATGCCTGCCGATGTATAGTGCCAAAACAAAAGCATTCACATTGCTAAACTCACAACTAGTATTTAGTCACATAGCCATAATACCAACTTACCTCATAATTTTGTAACATTTTAAACTTAAGATTTAATATAAGTCTGCCCGAAATGCCTAGCCATGCTAGGCATTCTAGTGGTACACTCCGTAATTATTATTTTACTACATGTAAACCACACAATAACCAAATTTTGTAAACTCAGCATTGTAATCCTTATAGATAATAAACTTTGAATTGAATTGAATTGAATGAAGCCCAAGTGGACGCCTGCTGATGAAGACCAAGTGACGCCTGCTGATGAAGATGAGAAGTGAGATTACACTTCCCTCCGGGGAGTCGCTGCAAAAGAGAAGAAGGTATCGTAAATCCCACCGCTGCCACCATTTTATCGTAAGGGTTTTTAAAATTTGAGATATCGTAGGTTGAAGGTAACACACTTGTAGGATGGTAACTATATTGTCAGACTGAGATGAGGGATGGAGCCCAGTGCCTTGCCTGTCTTCGCCTGGATGGTCTGCCGCCGAGTGAGGCCGGGGCAGAGGTATGAGCTTACACATGTGCATCCCGTGACGTCACACAAAGCCACAGGCCTACAAGGGATCTCGTATCTAAAGCACATGGATGATACTAATATGCTATGCTATATAATACAGGGATCAGCAACTATGCTGACAGAAGAGGTTACCCTCCAGCCGGAGGGCCCAAGAAAGAAGACAGTAGAAAGAAGAAGATGAACGACACCCCCAACGGGGGCCACAGCCGGGTCATCAAATGGAGAAGACCCAGGCCGGAAGTACCGGCAAACCTCTAATGAATGAATGAATGAATGTTAACCTCGTGTCCGAGGTGGATCGAGGGGACGTTGTAGGTGAAGTGACTGAGGATGGTGTGGCTGATGCTATGGGGATCTATACAGTGGAGATGGTTATTCATAATGATGGCCTCCAAGAGGAGGCAATGGAAGAGGATAGTGGATTGCAAAAGAGGGTGGCTGCACTCTCTGATATGGAGGATGTGTTGACTTCAGCACAACATTCTGGTAAAAAGGTGTGGGCAGATATGGCAAGGAGTGGCCTTGGAGGATCCAAAGGACCACGGACTGTGTAAGGTGGTTCTCGGAGGTCGGGTGGTGACCGGGGTGGTCGTCATAGACAGGTGGATCGAGGTGTGTCAGTGCCCAAAGGGAAACCTCCTCTGTTAGCTTCAGGTGTTTAACTGAAAACGTCAATGGTTTAAGACATACATTAAAGTGTAAGTGGTTTAGTGTATTTTTAGGTCAGAAGAGTGTGGATGTTATGCCTGTGCAAGAGCACAATCACAAACTTGGATGCGAGTTGGTGATTGAGGGTTATACTGTTTTTGTGGCGCACTCATCGTATTTGAAAGGGGTGTGCTATATTGGTGAGGAAAGCCATCCTTTTTGTTGTACATTGTAGTAAAGAGGGTGGAGGGGGGGAGGGTCTTGAGGGGGGGATGAGTTGTGGGGAGGGAAGGGGGGTGGTGTTGTGTGTTAATGATCCGGCAGGGGGGAACAGCAGAATTAAGGGTGTTTTTGTGGGGGATTTTTTTGGTCTATCATCTTCGGTCGCTCCCTGCCCTTGCAGTTGGGGGAAGCGACGGGAAATTTGGTGTGGTACATTGCAAGGATGGGAGCTGCCAGGGGGCGGGGTTTTGTTCAGTGTTTTTGGGGGATTTTGTTAAAGGGAGTGGGGTTGGTGGATGGGGGGGGTTGCTGCATGGGAGGTGGAACACACCTTTGTGCGGGGGGGTATGCAGCTCGGCTTGTCATTTGTATGTGACTAGGATGGCGGAAAGTTAGAAGGGTGTGTGTGTTTGGACGTGGTTTTTTTTCGGACTATGGGGGGGTATTGGTGGAGTTGGGGGGGGGGAGAACTACCTTCCCAGTACAAGAGTTACTGGAAATTGAACATCCAGCTGCTTAATGGTGAGGAAGGAGGGCTTCATTGTGAGATTGTGGGAGAGCCTGTGGACAGGGGAGGGTGGGGTGGGGGATTTGTTTTTTTGGGTGAGATAAGGTAGCTAAGCGGAGGATCTGGGACTTTTATATTTGGAGGGGCGGATGGAGGCTCAGTTTGCATATGGGCTTATCAGGTATCTCGAGGGGCAGTTGCGGGAACATTATGGGATAAGGGGGGGATACCCTGTTGAGGTAATAGAGGGGTTGAAAGACAATATCAGGGAATTGCAGAATGAGAGGTTTGATGTGGTGCAGGTGTGGGGAGGTTGGAGGAGGTAGTGTGGGGAGACAGGACGTTGGCATGTGTCCTGCATGGGCAGTGGCATCGGCAAGTGACCACGGAAATAGTAGGATTGCGTGTGCATGATGAGATGGGAGGGTATGGGGAGGAGCAAGAATTGATCACAACAGAGTGTATGGGAGGTTATGCAGATGCCTGGTACGGGTCATATATGAGGAGTGTTGGTATGCGGGAGGCTACTTTACAGGACATGGGGGGTTGGTTACAATATATTCTTGGGAAGGGGGACAGGGAAGTGTTAGGTGGGATTATCATGGAGGATGAGGTATGGATGGCATTAATGGGAATGCATAAGGGTAAAGAACTGTGGATTGACGGTCTGTCGAGTACAGCATTGGGGTGTTTTAAAGGGGTTTTTGGTGAGGCTATTCAATGTGATGAAGGAGAGGGGAGAGATGGGGGATTTGCAAGTGACAGCAGTTGTGGTCATGGTACCAAAGGGGAATGGACCGTCAACAATGTGGGACTATCGGGCAATATAGCTTATGTATGTGGATTATAAATTATTTGCTAAAATTCTTGGCAACTGGTTGAAAAGGGTTATTGGAAGAGCTGTTGCAGCTGGGCAATATGGGGTGCCAGGGAGGTCAATGTATGAGGGGCATGGGGTAATTAGGGCATTTATAGAGTGTGTGTAAGAGGAGGGGGGAGGGGGAATGTTGGCGCTGGATTGGAGTGCGGCGTATGATAGTGTGGAAAGGGAAGCTTTGTGGCGTATTATTCGTGGCAAGGGTTTGGGGAAGAGATCGTGCATTGGGCGTGCACTTTATATCAGGGGGCAGGTATGTGTGTGCAGGTGAATGGAACAGTGGGGTCGCACGTCGTGATGGGAAGGGGTTTGCGACAGGGTTGCCCCCTCTCTCAGCTTCTTTTTGTGTGTTTGCAGGATCCTTTTTATAGGGCGGTGGAGACGTGTGTGAGGGAAGGGGTGACGAGGGGGCTGAGTTGTGGTAGCTCGGGAATTGTTGGTTATTGTAGTGATACTGTTCCTGTGGGGAGCAGCAGCAGGATAATACTGCACCACCTCTCGTGGGCCCTTAACAACAACAACAGCTTGGTGTGTGTCATGGGCGCCAACACATGGTATGTGATTCTCTTCTCTTATATCCATATATTAGTAATGCAGATTACATGGTGAGTTTAAATATGTGGCCTGTAGTTATAACTTTTCTCTTGATATATGCAAGACATCACCATCCCTGTAGAAGCAGTTATTAGATGTACTAGTCATTATATTTTGTTGCAGAAGTACTATGAAGATTATATGTTCAATAAAGCCTAGAGATAAGGCCTGTGTTTCTATCACAACAATTTATTGAACATAGAATCCTGGGCTACCTGATGGTGATCCTGCACTAGACTACATCACAACATGGAGCGTTTACTGAAACCAGAGAGGCTAGACTGTGACCCCAGCTTATCAACGGCTGCTCAGGAATGGAAGCACTGGTTTAAGACTTTCGAAAACTTCTTGCGAGCCCTTCCTAAAAAAGATCTAGATAAACTAAGTCTGCTCATCAATTTTGTGTCACCTAAGATATATGAGGCTATTTCTGAGTGTAAAAACCTATGAAGATGTTTATCAAAACCCTCAAGTCCATTTATATTACACCTACAAATAAAATCTTTGCACGCTATCGCCTTGCAACTCGCCGCCAGCAGATTGATGAATCCTTAGAGGAATACCTCCAAACACTGAAAATTTTAGTTAAGGACGGGTCACTTCCAAGCAGTGACAGCTGCTTAGTATTGTGAAGAACCCTCCGGGGATGCTTTTATCAGTGGCCTGCAATCACCAATAATAAGGCAGCGTTATTGGAGATAAAACTCTCGACTTAGCTACTGCCTTTGACCAGCAAGAGCTCTAGATTCAGCCAGAAGAATTCTGAAGTATACAGTACCACTCAGCCTTCTCGAGTGGTAAGTGCTGCAATTTCCTGACCAAGACTCTTGCAATGAAGTTACTGTGGAACCTGCCTCAGGACAGCAGCAGCAGGTACGGTGTGTTTCTTTTGTGGTTTTTCAAGACATCCAAAGTCCAAAGTGTCCTGCTCGTGAAGCAATGTCCATAAATGCCACAAGAAAGGTCACTTTGCTAAAGTATGTCGTGCTAATGCATCAACAAGAGCTAGTGCCTCCACACATTCCAGTGATCATGTGACTCTAGCAACAGTGACTTTTGCGGCTACTCCAAATTCACTGTCAAAGGCAGTTGTGAAAGTATTCATCAAAGGAACAGAAGTAGATGGTGTTATTGATAGTGGCAGCTCCGAGAGTTTCATCAACCTTGACTTAGTTAAACGCCACTCCTTGACTGTACATCACTCATCAGGTACCGTTTCCATGGCATCAACATCTCTCTCTATGGAAATAAATGGTATAAAATACCGACACAATGGCAATATAAACACAAATGCAGTATAATGTGATCCTTTATTGACTACGTTTCGCCCACACAGTGGGCTTTTTCAAGTCACAAACAGAACTACCTGGGGTGGAAGGAACGCGAGTATTTATAGTCCGGCTGAGGTCAGGTGAAGAATGCTGCATCTGATGATGTACCGAGTGGGGTTATAGAGTCTAAAAACTTGGGTAGCTTAGAAAGGAGATTGGATAAGTTTGTGAGCAGACCTTCTATAGTGTTCTTATGTGGGATAGCGATGAAGAAGTTTCTTGGCAAGTGGTTCAGCTATGTTATAGAAGCCACTGTTTGTGACTTGAAAAAGCCCACTGTGTGGGCGAAACGTAGTCAATAAAGTATCACATTATACTGCATTTGTGTTTATATTGCCATCTCTCTCTATTCAGACCTTAGAGTTTTGTAAAGTAAATCTCAGAGTTAATGGAAAGGATTATCAAGATGTACATTTAGCTATTCTGCCACAACTGTGCTCTGATGTTATCCTTGGTCAGGACTTTCAGAAGCTGCATGATAGTGTCACCTTAACATATGGAGGTGAACTGCCTCCTTTTGTTGTCTGTGGACTTAGCACTTTAAGGGTAGACCCACCAAAGCTGTTTGCAAATCTTACCGCGGATTGCCATCCTATATCAGCTAAGTCACGCCGCTATTCTTATGAGGATCGGATGTTCATTGAGAAAGAAACTCAGAGGCTGCTGAAGGAGGGTATTATAGAACCGAGTAATTCCCCTTGGCGGCACAGGTTGTTGTTGTTAAGGATGATTATAGGAAACGGAGACTGGGTATCGATTACTCTGAGACAATCAACAAATTTACACTTCTTGATGGGGACCCCTACCCCGAATTGATGATACAGTGAACAAAATTGCTCAGTAAATATGTGTTTAGCACAATTGATCTACAGAGTGCCTATCATCAAGTCCCTATAAGGAATGAAATAAACCATACACAGCGTTTCAGGCTAGTGATGGCCTGTATCAATTACCAGAGTCCCTTTGGAGTCACCAATGGGGTAGCCGCTTCCAACGAATTATGGATTCACTCATTCAGGAAGAGCAACTCATGGGAACTTATGCATATTTAGATAATGTTACCATTTGTGGCAAGACCCAGGAGGAACATGATGCAAACCTTGATAAGTTTTTGGAAGCCGCCAAGAAGAAACATATCAGTTACAATGAGGAAAAATGCACTTTTTCAACTAAAAGGCTTAGCATCCTTGGTTTTAGTGAAAGGAGGTTCAATATTCCCAGACCCTGAACGACTACGACCTCTACGGGAACTTCCAATGCCTCAAGACAAAATGTCACTCCGAAGAACTCTTGGTCTCTTCGCTTATTGCTCACAATGGATCTACAACTATTCAAGTAAAGTCCACCCATTGAGTGTACCACATTTCCTGTGAAAAAGGAAGCAGAAGCTGCTTTCCATACTCTCAAACAGGACATTTAAAACTCAGTAGTTCAAAGCCATTGATGAGTCCCTACCATTCGAAGTGGAAACGGATGCATCTGACATTGCCATTTCTGCAGTCTTATCTCAGGCAGGGCAACCAGTAGCCTTCTTTTCGAGAACTTTTCAAGGATCAGAGAAGTGTTACACTGCTGTAGAAAAAGAAGCCCAGGCCATCAGAAGCAGTTCGCCACTGGAGGCATTATT